GCAGGCCAGCCACCACTCCCATCACAGAGGACAGGACCTAAGTCCTGTTTCAGTGCGTGATGAAACAGGGACTCAGACCCAGGCGATCGGAATCCAAGTCCGTGTTCTTATGTGCTGTACTACACTGCGCAGTAAAAACCGACGGAAACAAGGCAATTTTTTTTTCAATTACAGTTTAAAAAGAATTAAAACAAAAACCACATTATCTACTTCACCCTTCTGAGACTCAGATGCCACCTCCACTGTATGCACAGTGAGTCACGGAAGCACATGGTACGAGGCCACAGGAGCTGTCACTGCAGCGTGGACCCAAACCTGACAGCTCCAAATCTCCGGGTCTTTGCACAAAGCCACGCGATTCTTACTACCAGAAATGAACACCAAAGGAGAAACACTTTAAAGCATTTCACGGGCACCAGGATGGAAGGTCCTGCGTCGAAAATGAGGCTCAGAGGTACACCCTTGAGTTGATGATCGCGCAGACCTGCACGCTTCGAAAAGCCACATCGTATACTGTAAAGACGCACAGCAAACAGAGAAGAAGCCATAGGACTGGAAAACATTTACAAATAACTCTGAAGGGAAACGCTCCTGTCTACCTCCTACCGGGCACAGGTGGCTCTGACTTCTTGAGCAATGATGTAGCAATAGCAAGAGTCACGTGATTGTTTCCTCACATGGGCCAAGCAGAGGAACGCCGGCCGTAAACCTGGCCCTTGGCCGTGTGAGGACAGGCAGCGGCAGCTTAGGGCTCTTCTCTCCCCAAGGCAGACCTAACTCTAACACTATTAGGTCGTCGGAAAAAATCACGACATTCTTCTATTTTTCTTTTTCTTAAAGAATTATTTATTTAATTTTATTCATTATTATCATTATTATTTTAATTTGACCAGAGAGAGGGAGAGAAGGGGAAAGTGAGAAAGTAAGCCACCAGGTCCAAGACTTGAACCACAGTCGAACGTGTGGGAGTCCAGCATCTTAACCACCATATCACCTGCTGGCCCCACTGGTTTTCTAAGCAAAAATACGTCATGACTTTTCTGATGGCCCGAAATTCTGAGCTGAACACACAAGGAGATGCCCTTTCGCATCGTCCCCTCCAGTGTTTTTTGTATCTAGTGTAAGCTTACTCTGCGGTGTAGAAAGGTGCTCTTTTCCAGAAGTTATCAACTAAGATTCCTGCAATTAGGAAAAAAAAGACAGCGTGAACGTGGGCCTGAACGTTCAGGCTTGAGCTGGCCACCAGGAGCGGCGGTGATGCGCTACTCGAGAGAAGCTAGATCCCGCACAGCCACCACGGTTCGAATCCCCGGCCTAGTCAGCCTGACGCATGTTGGGCACACACGCAGATGCCCACGGCCCAACAGGTTGCAGGACTGGAGGAAGGAGTCGTGGCGTGCTTAGATCTTGTGGAAGGTGCTCCTCTGTCCCTCCCTCTCTCTCGCATACATACTCTCGCGTGCATGTGCTTTATCAAAAATAAAGCCAAAACAAAAAAGAGGCTGAAAGCCAAAAAGAGACTAAATAAATCCAAAGCAGGTGTCTGAATACTGCCAGAAGAGTCAGATTCTCAGTGAGAGAAATGCATTTACTGAAGAAAGGAATTTAACATGGTACCATGCTTGCGTGCTTTGGGCTTTCTGGATTTTTTTACGAAGTATGTGTGTGGGGTATGGGTATTACCATTCTAGGAAGGCTCAGGAAAAGCCTACAAAATTCAGAAATTCTGATGGAATTGATTCTCTGGCACTGAATAGATCCTGATCCTAGTAGAGAAAGGCCCCCCTCCCCCGCACCGAATACAGCATGCACTGTGTAGCCACGACTCATGATTAACAACGAAGAAAACCATGAGTACCAAGGCAGTCTTCAGAGCCTGCTCTTTGTTGATGAAATTAGATTTGGGGAGGAGGGAAAATACCCATGGAATCACTATTACTGTGTGCTGGTAATATTAACAGTACTAGGTGGTTTACACACAGTATTACCGTGCAAGGTTATCTCAAGAAGTTCATGAAAACAGACTTAAAAAGTGTAAGTTTTTTGATGCAAAAAAAAAGGAAATCCATGCTTGGTTCATGCATTGTCCATGAACTCTCTGAAGACCCCAGGTACTCCCCATTAGCAGTGTGTGAGGTAGGCATTGTTATTCCCACCTAACAGACCAAACACAGCTTAGAAGAGCCCCAGCCCCAGGTAAACTGGCAGTCCAGATGCAAACCAAAGTCCACCTGCGCCGAGGCCTCACTTCCGCCACCCCGAATTAAGCGGATTCCTCATTCAATTGTCCCAGCCTTAGTCAGCTGTCAGAGAGCTCAAAATGCCTGAGCCATGGTTAAAATCTCTACCATCTACTCCAAAATCCCACAGAAGTGAAAGTCGTCCTCTCGCTTCATTTGTGTTGGTTCTACTGTCAGCAAAAACATGTGTAACACTAGAACGCATTCATAAAACGAGGCCTTTTCACCAAAACGAGTCTGACAAATCTTTAAAAACTGACAAATACAATGAAGAGTAAAAGTAACATTCGGGAATTTCGGAGGTCACAAACAGTGACTAAAGATTTGCCTGATGCCTCCCTCGTGGCCGTCCCCAGATCAACAGCCCCAACTCTGCCTCGTCGTGCTGTCGGCTCTACCTGCAGGCCCCGGGGCTGGGGCTGGCAGCGGCTGCCTTTTATCCCCACCATATCTGAGAGCCTCGGCCACCTCGGCTTGGAGATGCCGTTCTCCAGGCTGGAAGGGGGGGGGGGGCTGCCCTTCAGAGAGTGACACCGTCCTTAAGGAACGAATAGAGGGACCAGCAGATGGTTAATGGTCACGTTGCTGGACTCCCACTTAGTTCACCACGGTTGGAGCCCTGGACCTGGGAACTTCAGGTTTAAGCTGGGCATGTGTGCGTGGATGCCCAAAATCCCCAGAGGGGGATAGAAGAGATGGGATTGTGGCATGGCCATCCTACCAGGGGGGGATTTTTTTTGCTTTCTGTCTCTTTGTCTCTGTGGTAAGCACATGCTCCTTATGCCAAAAATTCCTTTAAAAAAAAAAAAAAAGGAACTAATAGAAGGACACCGTTCTCCCTTCCTCACGGATTATAAATGATGTTGGAAAACATCTTCCGGTAGGCACAGATGAAGGAACGAAACGAGGCAGGGTCTCTGACTAGTACTTGGCCTTCTATGGCCATCTGTCGTGAGACCCTCCTCTCTGTGAATGCCAAGTGAGCCTTGTGAGGGCCCCGCAGTGGCATGGTGCTAACAGGACACTTTGCAGTGCTGGACTCTTGGGCAAGGTCCTAGGCTCGTACCCCAAGGCCTCCCGGTACACACTGGGTGCACAGGTGTGAGCCCGTGATCCAAGCTGGCCAGGATGGAGTGGAACAGCAGGAACACCCCACTGGGGATGCCTGCCTGCCTGCCTGCCGCTCTGTATCTCTCTTTCATGGAAGAAATGAATAAACATCTTAAAAAGTGTTTTTCAATCAACCTGTAAAATACACTATGTAGAAAAACAAACAATTGGAAAAACAAGCCAACTTCTTTACAAAATGCAGCAAGTATTAGGTGACATGTCAAAGCCAAATCTCTAACAATAAAATGTATTTACTGATTTATTTTTAAGAAAGATTTTTGCTATAGGGTGTGTGTGCTCCCTGGAAAGACACAGAGACAGAAAGAGAAAAATCACACACACACCCTCCCCACCAGTGGGGATGGCCATGCTTCAGTCCCCTCTCCTCCATCCTCCTCTCAGGATTTTGGGCACATACAAATGCACATGTGCCCAGCGTGAGTATTAAGCCTCCGGGTCCAGGATCTGAACCGCGGTAGGCAATGTGGGAGTGCAGTGATGTAACTGCTATGCTGTCTGCTAGTCCCTAGCAATATAATTTAAATGCCAGATGACCCTATTCCTTCCTGACCATTTATCCCAAACCCCAAGTATGATTTTATTAAAAATCAATAGTACAAATGAATGGCGATCAAGCTGCAGAGTTCTCTTCTGGCTAAGCAGGACGGCGCACTAGGCAGGGTTCTGCCCAAAGTGGTCCACGCCATGCCATCGTGGGTCAGGTGGCCATGTGTGCGACGCTTGGCACACGCTGGTCAAGCTTACGAGCCCTGGCACTGCCGCCGGCCACGAGAGGCAGGCAACACGACCGGCGAGGACGTAATAGCACCACTTCGTCACTAGTCCCAGGACCAGGCTCCACCCCAGTCCCTGTATTTTAATTAGTATGTCCTTGAACTTTATCATGAGAGAGACACACATGCAGACTAAAACCCCCGGGGACGGCGTGGCGGCAAGTGTGTGATCTTTCTTCCGCGTGTTCAGTCACTGCTGTCTATCTTTGCGGAGCGCGTCACAATTGTGTCAGGGAAGGGACACAAACAGCGCTTAGAAATGGGGTGCACGTCTTCATTTCACACTCCATCAGCTTTTACAACTGCAGCTCAATGAAACGTTGGAGAGGGCTTGGCAAACAGCCATATTTACCAAGGTACAAAATAGGGGTCAGATTACTGTTTTATAGGAAGAGGAAAAAAGTTTTATTTCCCGTGCACGTGACTAACGTAGGAATCCAGCCTTCACTGCATGGTTTGGTGCCTTTCCAGCTGCAGGTTCTGCTAGACTCTGAACGACTTTGCAAGGCAGGGAAACATGCCCTCTTCGTCCCCTTCCACCCAGGACCTACGGACACAGAAACGCCGGGCTGGATCACCGTCAGGGCTAATTCCTGCACCTGCAAATGAGGGCTTTCGCCCTCTGCCTCCAGCAGG